GGAGCAGCTGTTGTAGTTGGACCAGCTGTTGTTGTTGTGGGTGCAGCTGTTGTAGTTGTTGGAGCAGCTGTTGTTGTTGTGGGTGCAGCTGTTGTAGTTGTGGGAGCAGCTGTTGTAGTTGTTGGTGCAGCTGTTGTGGTTGTTGGAGCAGCTGTGGTTGTTGTCGGGGCACCTGTTGTGGTTGTTGGAGCAGCTGTGGTTGTTGTCGGGGCACCTGTTTTGGTTGTTGGAGCAGCTGTGGTAGTTGTGGGAGCAGCTGTTGTAGTTGTTGGAGCAACTGTGGTAGTTGTGGGTGCAGCTGTTGTGGTTGTTGGAGCAGCTGTAGTAGTGGTGGGTGCAGCTGTTGTAGTTGGAGCAGCTGTTGTTGTTGTGGGTGCAGCTGTTGTAGTTGTGAGAGCAGCTGTTGTAGTTGTGGGTGCAGCTGTTGTAGTTGTTGGAGCAGCTGTGGTTGTTGTCGGGGCACCTGTTGTGGTTGTTGGAGCAGCTGTGGTAGTTGTGAGAGCAGCTGTTGTAGTTGTTGGAGCAACTGTGGTAGTTGTGGGAGCAGCTGTTGTGGTTGGAGCAACTGTAGTGGTGGTTGGAGCAGCCGTGGTAGTTGTGGGTGCAGCTGTTATGGTTGTTGGAGCAGATGTGGTAGTTGTTGGTGCAGCTGTTGTGGTTGTTGGAGCGGAAGTGGTGGTGGTTGGAGCAGCCGTTGTGGTGGTTTGAGCTGCTGTGGTCGTGGTCGGTGCAGCTGTTGTAGTTGTTGGAGCAGCTGTTGTTGTTGTTGGTGCAGCTGTTGTAGTTGTGGGAGCAGCTGTTGTTGTGGGTGCACCTGTTGTAGTTGTTGGAGCAGATGTGGTAGTTGTGGGTGCAGCTGTTGTGGTTGTTGGAGCNGGAGCAGAAGTGGTGGTGGTTGGAGCAGTTTTTGTGGTGGTCGGAGCAGCTGTGGTGGTGGTTGGTGCAGCTGTTGTCGTAGTTGGAGCAGCTGTTGTAGTTGTGGGTGCAGCTGTGGTGGTGGTTGGAGCTGCTGTTGTGGTTGTTGGAGAAGCTGTGGTAGTTGGAGCAGCAGTCGTAGGAGCCGTAGTTGTAGTTGTGGCTGCAGTTCCTAAAGTAGATAAAATTATTTAAAAGAGCTAAGTATATATTTTGTCTTTATATAGTATACCCAATGTTCTTTGATAACAGATCTTTATTTTATATAATAACTTACCAACAACCACCAGAAGTACCCAAAAAGTCCTCATCATTTTGTTTTGATATTGTTTCCTGCTTTAAAAAAAGTACATTGTTAGAACAATTTCGTGAAAATTTGTTTTATTTTATTTCAAATCTCCCCCCACCCCCACGTAAATACAGAATTTCTTGCAGTTACAGTTTTGTGTTTTTCTTTCCATTCCTGTAACTTCCACTATAGAATATTTTTCATGAGCAGTAATGCAGCTATTATTGCAGCTTTGTCAACATTTCACAGGTCCTCTACATTTTTAGAAAAAAACAAATATTTGATTTTCATTAATCTTCTAATTGTTTTATTTTATAATGAAAAAGTGTTTTATCTTTTTAATTTAATCAGTAGATGCCTAGTGTTTTTTAACCATACCTACTAAATATATTGTCTATATAATATTATGAAAATAGTATGATTGGGCGTGCAGGTGGAACAGTGGTTGGCGTACACGACCCATTTATGGAGGCTTAGTCTTCGACACGGTCGACCCAGGTTTGAATTCTGGTGTCAGTCTACCGTTGTAAAAACGATCCACTAGTGCGAATAAAAATAAAAAATTGTATCATTAAACAAAATGCAATATGTATTATCCAATTGGGGTAGTTTAGCAGGTTCAAAATACATTTTATAAATAACATTAGTAGCGTAAGTAATAAACTGTAAGAGCAGTTAATAAACATGCTCCTTGTGTATTTCTGCATTGAAAATGTGTTTATTTGTGTTATGTAATATTCCAGTCCTTAATAACTGGTCTTCTATCAGATGAATTGACAACTCTGCTAAAGCAACTACAAACACACATACACACACAGACTTTCGCCTTTCTAAATGTAGCAAGGACTATGTATTGTCTCCCATTATCTTCAATTGATCTTTAGTCATTTTGAAAAAATGTTATGCCCTAACTCTAAAAATAAGCCAAAACATAAGTCTTACAATTCTATACCTCACCCTTACCAGTCTGTACTTCAGTCACACACAAAATATCATTGCATAAGCAATTACTGAATTTAGTTAAAAGTGCTTAACTTACATGTTTATTCTTCTGAGTTGCTTCACTGCAATAAATTATTTCCAATGGTCTTTGATCCTTTCTGTTTGCTGGTTGACTTGTACTATTTACCAGTTGTAGCAGCTGCTTTATATCCACCCAAAGCAAGTAATGTGACGTCAATGACCAATTAAGTGAATAATGCGTATTTCAGGTGTGGCTACCTGTCAGTAACCTTCAGCTCATTTTTTGTCTCAAGAGAAGCAAGTTGAGCAGCATTTCTTTTCCAACTGGACATCAGAACATGACGTTAAACTTTTGTTTTGTTCTTTAGATTTAATGAAGGGCTTTTTAGATATAGGTTTCTTTTTTTTCCCTAAAATGTTGCTGTTTGCAGGTCTATAATATTATCAACACAAAACAGGAAGGGTACATAATTTTAGTATACTTTAATTTGTAATATCACTAAAAATATTGTATGTTTCTTGTTAGTTACACTTTGAACTTAGCAGGTTTAAGCAAAACCACATGAGCATTTTTAATTGGTTAAAGTGTTCCTACATTTTTTGGTCACTGCAATTTTATATCAGAATCTATCTATCTATCTATATCTATCTCTACAGTATATAGTAATATCTGATTTTGGTATCACACATACAACAACAAAAATGTTTTAACTTTGATATAATAACTTTCCATTTATATTATTTTATTAAACCTTTATTCAAAGGAATTCACAATTTTCTTTTCAATGAAGATTTGTCAAAAAATTATATGATATAATGAAAAGAAATGAATTAAAAATTGCAAAATATATTTAAAAAGCATCTACAAAAACTGGGGGAAAATTGAAAACTTTTATGAGACAGAATTTAAAATAGTGAAAATATCAATAAATCATCTCTAAGACCATAAATCTAGCTTTAATAGCACTGGGGAAGATAACCACAAAGCACATTTTACATAGATTTCATATGTGCAAATCCTTTGACCCAAGTTTGGTGTAAGTATTTGTGACAGAAAGAAAATACCCATTATTGGAAGTGTATTTTGTCATCTTCATGTTTTATTGAAGTTTTTCTTTGTTTTTAAAAGTATATCAGTGGTTCCTTTATGTGCTTTTATTCTAAAAAAAACTTATTTTCAGATATTATATTTGGATTGGTTAAATTGAAAAAATATATCAAAGAGTAATATATTGGCCCTATCATCAATAAGAACTATCATAAACAATTACTTGACAAACAGCTGTTCTGGGAGTACAGTCTATAAATTATATCTCATTATGTAAGAAAAAAGATTAAATCAAATATATTAAACTCATGTGTACCAAACACTAATGATTAGATTTGCTCTGACATTTCTGATGCAACTTTCTTACAGATTTTGTTAAAATTGACATGCCCCTATTGTCCAAAAAATAAGTTCAGTTCCCCTGCGACTCTAAACAGGAGCCTTGTTCTCTTTTTTATTTTTACAACTAAGCCACTAGAGAGCCACCTTTGCTAAGATTTAAGAGGTGTTACATTGAGTTTTATGATTGTGTGTGTGTTTTTTTTCCCAACCCATTTATTTTAAAATCCTTAGATACAGTTTAAATTCTGAGTAGTTTTGAAATTACTAAGACTTTCGGAAAACTGTGTAAAATGGTTCTGACCAGAAGTATTTTCTGTCACTGCATCTAAAAATAAACTAACTTTGAATTGGAATTTAATTTGATAATAATGTGATGTTATTTAAAGATGTGAACCTGAAATACTTCTTTATATGACTCAGTTAGAAGACGTTTTTGTGAGTTCACACCCTTGGAGTGACGCCTGCAGTATCAGACTTTGTGTTGATGTTTCCAGGAAACAGAGTCACCCCTTCAATTAGGCGTCCGTCTATTGACCAGGTTTCACAACAGATTAAGTAAAGCTGGTTGCGTATGTTGTTAAGACTTTGTATCTTGTTTTTTTTTTTTTTTTAGGTAACCTTCACATGGGGGTGCTCTTCAAATCCTTGGTTTTGTATTTGAAAAAACATAAAAGCAATTTTTACAACTGCTTGTTGACTCTTTTTTTTTTCTAGGCTAGTTACAGAAGTTGCCCTCTAAGACACACCCCTCCTCATTTACATAATGAGGCAGAAATGTAAAAACAACAGGCAGAATAAATAGCGTTCAAGAAATAAAGAGGGTAAAAAAAAAATACAAGGGAAGAATAAAACAGACAGAAATATTATATCATGCACATAAATAAATACTTTAAAAAATAAGTTATAAATAAATAAAGTTGAAGATTATAACGGACAATATATGAATAAGGTAATTATTGCAAAGGTGAATACATAAAACAGCTAATTAAAAGAGATATACATGTATGTCTCACTGTGTAATTTAATTTCTACCTATATTTATTTGTTTATTGTATTTTGGGGGCAATTAATTGTATGCATATATATTTATTTATTAATGAATTTATTTTTAAATATGGCAGAGTTGGTCCTCCATAGCAGACAGAAGTTAAGAGGGATTATTGATTAAATTGGAAAAACTTGGATTAAGTGGTAAGATTTATAACTGGGTTTTACATTATCTGTTTGGTAGAGAAATAGTTAGAGTTGGGACTGCTTTCTCTAATAGATATAAAGTTGAGAATGGTACCCCACAAGGCAGTGTGTGTAGCCGAATTCTTTTTAATTTTCTTACTATAATTAATAAAATTTTTGATGAGATAGATGGTCGTATAGAGAAATCTTTGCAGATGATGGGGCTCTGTGGGTTCGGGGACATAATCTATATTTGCAGAAAAGGATGCAGCATGCCATTTTGAAAGTGGAAGGTTGGGCAAATAAATGGGGATTTAGAATGTCAGTTGCAAAGTTCCAAGTTATTTGTTTTTATAGATGACATAAGGAAGTTAATTTAAATCTTTATAATCAGAACCTGAACAAGTGAATAAAGTGAGGTTTTTAGGTTTCATCTTTGATGAAAAACTAACGTGGAAACAACAAATAGAAATAGTTTGAAATAAATGTAAAAAAGTGAATATTTTGTTGATATGTCTTTCTGGACAGGAATGGGAAGATTCACGAAGTCCGCTGCTGGGAGCTTATCAGGCTCTCATGAGATCTTCCTTGGATTATCGGTGTATACCATATATGGTAGCTGCTAACAGTAATTTTAATCCGAAAAACTCACATGAAGAGAAAATACAATTAGA